AAGTTTGATAACTTTATCAATTTTTCTTTTGGATAAAAAAAGACGATATATATATTCAAAATAAGATATACATAATCAAATAGTAATATATTAATTTCGTTTTAATTAACTAATGAGTACAAATAAAAGGAAAAGAAATACTTCAATAGTGACATCCATCAAACAGATCCATTGGTATCTCAAAGAATGAGGATGAAAAGATAATAGATTAATTGTGAATGATAGTGCAAGATAATAAGCGGCACTTGTATTTATCATGCTAATGGAAAAGCAATTAATTGATCAATTAAATCAATTAACTGCCAATTAACGAACAATTAATGATCAATTTGCAGAATTTGAATGCAGCTCAATCATGCTTTGCAAAGGAATCATTGAAAAATGAAATTATCGCAATTGTGAAAGGAGCCGAAGTGTGAGAAACGGTGAAATATTTCAATCCAATCCAACTTTTTTTAAATGCATATTTTGTAATGTGGAATCATTTCTTATATTTTAGATCAAATATATTAAAATATATGTTAAAATAGATATTTTAATTCAAATAACAATAACAGATTTGTTAAACGTATCGCTATGTCACTATGCCGTTATATCGCTAATATCGCTTAGTGTAATAATATCAACTAAGTAGTATGTCGTCAAGAATAAAGTAATGTAAGAAATTATATTTTTTCCTGCGACTCACCAATACACTCATTACTTGATAATATCGTTGATAAATTCAATGCTTGATTTCCTTCTTAATTACTCATACATATTTTGGAAGTTATAGGATGTTCCTGTAAGTTACAGAATGCTTTCATTTACAAAATAAAAGGATCATACAGAATAGCATCAAATTTCATCTGTAACGAAAATGCACTTCTAATCGGATATCTATCGTATGAGCGTAAAACATATTTGTATTAATACTGTCAGAAATCAGGATAAAACTAAAAACTGAAAAAATTAATCGAAAATAAAAATTATTCAAAAAGAAAAAAATGTTCTTAAAAACGCTTTCATACAAAGTTTAACATTAACACAGATATTTCAATCTTATCAATTCAAGTAGCAGTATCACTTAAGTAATGATAGTGAAATTATCAATGTATTTAAAGATTATTTCTAGAATTTCGTTAACAAATGCTCTAATCGAATCGAATACAATATGCATCATCATCATCTGTTATCAAATTTTGATAATTAGTGAATTTGGCAATAAAGAAATCAATATATATTTATTATATATAAATATTGATTATATATATACTCACACATATTTTAGCCAAGTTATAACATATAAATTTTGTCATAATAAATTATAAATTATAAAATTTTTTCAACAAATTTAACTGCCAGATAATTGTATCAATTATTTGAAAGCAAATAATTGTTCAAATTGCAAATTTTAATTTATCCAATCTTTTTAAATAAATGTTTAGGAAAAAACTTTATTATCATTTCTTTCTTTTCTTCTTATCTTTCTCTTCTCTTTTCCATTTTTCTCATCCCTTTTCTCTCTAAATTTTATTAAATTTAATCAAAAGAGAAAAAGATGAAATAACTTAACAATATTTTATAATCTAATCGTTAAAAATAATCTTAGCTAACGAATACAATTTGAAGCGATCCAACCAACAACAACAACAACAACAATATTCTGTTAGCATTACTTCTTAAATCGTACGAAGCGATTCTAAAAGCACAAAATTTTATTTCAATACAGTACACTTAACAAATGTTGTCTTAACGACTTTTTCCTTTTTTCCATTCTTCTCCTAAATATTTGTTTGTTTGTTTATTTGTTTATTTTGTTTATTAAAATCGATCAGTTCAAAATTGCAAGATAACATTTACTTGTAATTTTCCGTTTTTTGTTCTATTTTTATTTTTTGCCTTTTGTTTATAACTAAATTAATAATTAGCATAATTTTACTATTAAGTATAAACAACTTTTATGCTTTTGTTGTTTAAAAAAAAGGAAAAATAATGAAAGGAAAATAAGAGAGAAAACTTTGAATTAGAAGATTTCTATTATTAGTTTATTTTAAAATTCAAACTTTTTAATTGACCTTTTTTTCGGATAGTTTACCTTCACTATACTTTTAGTAATATAAACGTTATAGAATGCAATAACCTTAAAAAAGCCTTAAAAAAACCTTAAAAAAGCAAATAGATATGAAATAGATATTTAATTCAGCAAATTAATTAATTAATTAATCGTCTATTGAATTATACTTATATTTTCAACGTTTTCAAAAATATTTTCTAAGAACAAAATAAGCTTTTTATTAGGCCAAAATTAATTAATTATCAGATGAAAATTATCCGAAAAAGGAAGCTTATTTTCGTAATCATTTTTGTTGATGAAAATTTCGTAAAAATTAACAAAATAGAAAAAGGTGGAAGGAAGGGGGAAAAAAATGATTATTTCAGGATTGCGTTATCATAAAAAGGAAAAAGTCATATTTACACTGATGAATCATATGTCTCAAATAAGCATCAATAAATATCAATGTCAATCGTCTTTCACTTTAAGACAGCTTTTCCTATCTGTTTCAAATCTCAATTATCAAATTCCTTTTTGTTTTCTCCTTTTCTTAATTACTGTATTAATTATCTAAGTAAACTAAGAAAAATACAGAATTGTATTTTTTTTCTTGAATTTTACTTAAATTTAAATTATTGGTTAATTGTAATATCGAAAAGCAAAGGATTTCCTTAATCAACAATATTTAATTAATTTTACCTTAACAGATTTTCCCTACTACTCTCTATTATTACCTTTTTTTTAAGAAAAATCAGTTCAATTGTTTCAAATTAATTAGTTCAGATAATTAATCGATACATATAATACAACTGGATTGGATTGATTTAAAAATCTTTCATAGCAATAATTTTTCTCTTCTTTTTTTATAACTTTATCAAATTATTCGTCTTTAATCATTTACCTAAAATAATCATTTCATTTTAATAAGCTAATAATATTTAATCTTTTTAAATACATAAGCATATCTGCTTATTAATATTTTTCATTTGATAATTTTAGCAAACAATATGAAATAATAGAAATAAGTTGTCAAGTGATTGCACTAAAATTAATCAATTTCAGGTAGCGCAACAACAATTTCATTACCTTTTAAAATGAATGATAGCATGAATGATAGCACGATAGCATGCGATGAATGATAGCTTATCGATATTTAGTTAGTATACTTCGTGATTAGCATATTTAAAGATGTATTTTTTATCTATCCTTATATTTGCTAAACATAAAAATTGCAAAGTTTCAATGAAGAGGATAAAAAATAATTGTGTTTAATTATGCTTATTGTGCATTGTAAATAAGCATAAAGGTTCAGGTGAACTCGAAAAATGTTAACTTACCATTGGTCCATTTGTAAACTGTGTATTGGGTGTGTATCCTATAATCCTTCGAAATAATGATGGACAAACATATACAAATAGTCGTAGACATACAAACCACTTTAGTTCCTTCAACAAATAAATTTATAAAGTGGTAGAGAAAGAAATAAATAGGTAGATTTCATTATCATTCTTTAATTGCATACTATTTGTTCGTCTTTATTTGCATCATTGATAAATTAATTTTAATCTTGACTTATCATACTTTAAATCTTATATTATGCATTTATTTGTATCACTGATCGATTAATTATATTTCCGGATTAATGAATGTTTTGTTTTATTTAATTTACATTTGAACAAGTAATTATTAAAATGAAAAAAAATCCGTTTATGAATGATTTGTTATAAACAATTGCTTTTTGCTTTTGATATGCTTAATTTAATAATTTATCAAATTGTTTGATTAGTTATTAATAAGGTGAAAGACTAATTATGCTATTTGGTTAAATTGAAATAAAAGACTAATTATGCTATTTGACTAATAATGACTAATTTTGACTAATTCAAAGACTAATTATGCTATTTGGTACAAAACAAATTTATTAAATTGAAATAAAAATCTTCATGTTTACATTTTGGAAATATTTTCTAATTATATTATTTTTTCCTTTTTATCCCAGAAAATTTTCAAATAAACAAAAAGTTGTAAAAATTCATATCTAAACTTTATATTCTGTCAGAATATAATTATGCTATTTCATCATTTCTTATTAATTTCATTAGAATTATCAATTAATAATTATATCTAACACTTAATTATTACTATATAATGAATGAATTAGCATATTTTTAAATATAATAAATTAAACACTATGTATATTTGATTTTTCTTGTTTCTTCCTTTTTGTGAAATAATTTTCTTAAAAAATTTCAAATCAAATGAAAAAATTTATTAGCAAAAATTTTATGAGAAAATATATAATAAAGGTATATGAAGCGGTAATGGTACAATTGAAGTTACCTGTATAATATTTTTAACGAAATTTCTCCTACGTTAGTGTATTTGTCGATATTTCAACATTGCTAACTGAAATTCCACAATGTTGTGAGAGCTTATGTAAATATATTACTCAATATATACACTTCTACTTATCTTATTCTATTACTACTACCAATTCAACTAGCTTTAGCTTCAATTTTCAAATTTCTATTCCTCTTTCAATAAATGAAATTATCTCATTTAATTTTTCACTTTCAGAGAGTCCTGTTTAATTTCTATCATCAAATGATAATTATGTATAAATTATTCCACAGGACGGATATTTTAAAATAAAATAAAATGAAATGAGAAAGAGAGAGAGAGAGAGAAAGAGAGAAAAGAGGAATGAAAGAAAGTGAGAGGGAAACTATAATATCAAGAGTGACTACGATGAACAAATATTTGCTAAGTAGTGAATTGTCGATAATCATTATGATAAAAATTTAAAATTTTACAGATTATATTGAATAATCTTTAAAAAAAAAGAGATAAAACATAACATAAAAGTCGTATACAATAAGCTATATTTTTAAAAATAAATCCATAAATAAACTGTATAAATCGGAATGATTCAAGAAATCTAATAATAATTAATGCCATTTATTAATTAGATAGAATTAAAATCAAGGAAATAGACAAATATTGTTTGTTGTTGTTGTTTTTGTTGTTGTTGCTGTTGTTGTTGTTGTTGTTGTTGTTGTTGTTGTTGTTGTTGTTGTTGTTGTTGTTGTTGTTGTTGTTGTTGTTGTTGTTGTTGTTGTTGTTGTTGTTGTTGTTTTTGTTGTTGTTGTTGTTGTTGTTGTTGTTGTTGTTGTTGTTGTTGTTGTTGTTGTTGTTGTTGTTGTTGTTGTTGTTGTTGTTGTTGTTGTTGTTGTTGCTGCAGTAATTATTTTTTCTCTTTTCATTTCTTTATTTCAATAAATATTTGATTAACTTTTAAATGAAAAATTACATGTAAAAGAAAAAAAATCATTTCTCATCAACAACAAATAAACTTTTACTATGGTATTTGAGGAATGTATTCAACATTTTTCATCATTGTGTTAATATCAAACATAATAGAAAGTAGCCATACATTTTAGTGAACATCAATTGAATGCCTAAATTCTGATTGAATTCAGGAGAAAGTTTGTTTGCACACATTTATTTATACAATAATGTTCAGTTTTCTTTTCCAACAAAATAATATTTCATTTATCGATTGCTAATTTTCTAAACTGTAATTTTGATGTGATCGATAAAATTTTAAAAGTTAATCAAATTAAACTGATAAAAAACAAAGATTTTTTTTTATCCAACATTTCATTTATCACATATTATTATCAGTTTATTAACAACATCTAATAATTAATACTTTAAAAGGAATAAAATAAATATAAAAATTTATTTGATGTAATTTCTATTTTTACTTTTTCTTTTTATTTTGCTAATTAATAATTTATTAAATTATTATGTCATTTTTTTAGTCTTTTTTTTGAAAACTTTTCTTCATAAATGATTTTTATTAGATGGAAAATGAGTTATTAAAATGAATTATTAGACAATTAATAGGTGGAAATTTAGCAAAATAAGCGTTGAAGTTGAAATTATTTGCAATCAATATCGTTATCAGTGATAAAATTGTATATTTTACCTGTCCAACTGTGTGTAATTATTGATATGATAGCTATTCAAACATAAAATATCAACAAAATTTGTATTTCTTCACTTTCTAACACTCCTTTTTTTCCCTTCTTTTTCTTCCTTCCAATCTTTACATATTTCAATTTATTGAGCAATGATTCATAGTATCCTTCAACTCTTAATGTCACAATTAAGAAAAAGTAGTATCGATTGATTGTTTTTTGCGAATTAATTAATATATAATAATATTTATGGAATGTTTTTTGTATAAATTTATCATCAATTTTTTTTACCGTAAAATGATTTCTGTATTTTTGGGAGAATTTCAGATCGCTAAATTTCAAATATTTCCTTTTTTTGTTGTTTTGATTTACTTAAGTAAACATGTTATATTAGCTGTATGACTCATCGTTTGTAATCTTTTTTAAACGACCCATAAACTTACCCCCATAAACTAACCCATAAACTTCGCTCTTTAAAAAAAAATGACATTGGATATTAGCATAAAAGTTGTATAATTTCTCAATTCAATATTAGAATAAGAAAGTGTTTGGAGTATTTTGAATCCTTCAGAATGTATCATTCAAATTATTGATTCTTCAAATTATTCTAAATGCACTTATGATTCATTTTATCGCTTTCTTCCCATCAAATCGTATTACATCTCATTTTGATGATTTTAAAATTTCTGCATAAATTTTGAATAATATGAAAGGAAAGTGAACATGACGCGGAATAATTCATTCTGTCAATGATCTGGAGAAATTTTCAAATTTAATTTAGATGTATGATGCTTAGTCACTGCAATTGTTGATTTGCGCTTGTTTTAAAAATGTTTGATTATATATCAGCAGTAATGAAAAATGTTTTCAGATTCCGGAAGCATTAATCTAAGATCTTTCTTAAATCCGGAAAATTCTGAAGTTCTGAAAGGCTTAAAATGAAACCATCAAGGATTGTCTTATTCGTTACAGCTACAATATGCTTAACATTATCTAGTTCCGCTCAACAAATGCCTAATCAAAATCCGGTGCCATCATCAAACCAGCAAAATCTTAATCCAGGACAAGAAGGTGCCAAAATTTTTACTGGTCGAGAAATCAATTCAGGATATGGTATGTTTTATCAGATATAACTCTAACTGAAAATTTGTAAAAATTTAATTAATAAATTTTCTCAATTTGAGCATCAAAATTGTCTCAAATTAAGTCTAGTGGGCAAATCACTTGTAATATTTTTCACACTTCAGTAAACTTGGTACCATTTGGACCTGAAGCGGGTGACCAAAAAGTACATCCAGGGATGCTTACTTCCGGACAAACGATAAATTTGCACATGTTTTTTCCATTCTATGGTGGTTTGTATAATTATTCAGTGGTACGTTTTGGTTTTCTTTTTGAAATTTAAACTTGAAGTTTAGTAATTTGTTTCAAAAAAAATTGAAAGCTTACTATGATCATATTTTCTTAGTACCAATGTTCAAATGTCACAATAAGCATATATAAAACTTAGTGAAATACAAATTGAAGCTTTCGGTAAATGGATACATTGCATTTGCAACTGTATTGGATCAAGGTCCAACAATAAATGTTGGCGTCGAATCAACTAACTGGCCACAACAGCAAGATCCGGCAATGATTGCACCATATTTATGTAAACAACAGGTTTTAATTTACTTAAAGCTTGAAACAATGTATTTGAAACAGTAAGTAAATGTTCGCTGATTTGATAATATCGCAATGATAGTATCATAATCGTTGATTTCATTTAGCTTAGGGAATTTTTAGTAGCTGTAAAATAAATTGTTTCAGATAGTGCAAAATCCAAGCCCAGGACTGAAAACCGGTGTTTACTATCGTTTAATGCTACGACAGTCATTATTTGGCCGTGGTAGTAATGTCAACATATTTGGTGGTACCATGGAACAAACAAGTTTCTTTAGACAACCAGCCAGTCAAGTTTGTCTTCTCGTTCATTGCTAATGCAAAAACAGATTTTTCAAAACAGATTTTTTGAAATTTTTGAAAATTATTATCTGAAATGGTTGTGGAAATTGCAGGCTTGTCCGAGTACATCTGATTCATATGTGCATTGTGATCATAATAGTGATTATTTCCTCGATCAAATGATGCATTGGCTTCAAGGTTCATTAAATCTTAGCTTAATATGGTAAATTAAAATGATGTAAAATTTTAATATCAAAAATATAAGGGAAAATTTATAGAAGGAGTTGCTGGTGCAGCAGCATTTCGTGCAGACGCAGCATTGGTAGTTACCTGGTACAATACAGCATCAGCTATCGTTGGTCGTTCTGATATAGATGCCGGTCAATTATCAACTTATCAGGCAATTTGGTTAACTGATCAGGTAAGGCTTAATATGAATAATTACCTTAATATTTGGTTAGTATTGAAATTTGATGGAACTATAATGAATTAAAGCTATGCTTTGTTTAATGATTTTGATGTCAAAAGATGAAATCATTTGGCTAATTTTCTCAAAAACTTTGCAATTATTTGATAAAAAGAGATTAATTATATTTAATACGCAAGGCGAAATATCAAAAGTGAAATTAAACTTTTATTTTTTTGTTTAAGTTTAAAATTTTTACGATGGTTATACTTTTCTAGCCTGGTCGATTGAGTTATGTTATCTTAAATTACGACAAACTTGGATTTGATGCTGCCGATTTTCGGATGAATTCTAGAAGTGGTCGTTGTCAAGTGAGTCAGTTGGTTCTTTATCAGTTTGAAAGAATATAAATTTGAATACTTTCTTATTCTTTTAATTCAGGCCCTTTTTAACGGTGGTAATCATACTGGTAGCGTACCAGTGGATCCAACATTCATGTACAAAAATACACCAACAATATTGGCACAACGCTCTGGTGTGCCTCATATGGTTCGTGGACGGTATATGTTTCGTGTTGACGATGTTGTTCGACCAGCTGGATGCTCTAATAAAACTGGTGGCACATGTAAATTTTAATGGAATTTTAAAATATGTTATGCAAATTGAATTTTAGAATTTTAAACAGATCTATATTTATACTATGAAATATGAATTTTTTGTTCAACACTGAAGGTGCATTTAATCTTGATAATCGATCAATTTAATAAAGCAAAATTATTCATTTGTAATAAACGAATGTAACAATGTTTACGTTCGTAATTGCGTGCACCGATAAGGTGTAATACTTTAAACAAAACATATATTTGCGGAATTTTTTTGGAATCAAATTTTTATAAATAAATCTATTTAGTTATTTCTAACAATTTAGTATTTGCATCGAAATATTCAAAGTAATTTCTTAAAAAGATTTTTCCGCTTCTTTTTCGTCTTAAACTTATCACAGCTAAAATATCCGAAAATTTCAGATCCAATGTTGATATATCCAAATATAGCCAACATGTTGGGAGAAACAAGCGTGGATGTGAATGCTTTGTGCTTGGATCATAGTCAGACATACGTTTTGATGATTGAGCAACGTCAAACGGCTTCATGTACCGTAATTAATTCAGCTATTGCTCGCTGTCATCTTCCAAAAGTTTATGATTGGGGCACTAAAACGGTTTATTTCCAACCACAGTCCGGATCTCAGCAAGAAGATAAAGCATTCGTTGGATATATTTATTTCGGTCAGTATCAATGAAAAGTTTAAGATTCAAGAATTTCATGAACAAACATAATGTTTGATATGTTGTACTTTAATGAAAGACAAAATTTATTTTAGCTTTCAAATTTAAACTATCATTAATTTTAGACTTACAAATCTTACCAGTAATCTTAATTGTATCATTTGTTTAATATATTTCATAATTATAAAACTTTTTTAAAGTGCCACCAACGCTAGATCCAATGCGTCTGGATATTGGTAATGTATATGAATGGTTCAGAAATCCGATATTACAAACGGCAAGAATTTTTTTCCTAATTCAAATTTAAATAAATCAATACTGAAAAATTGTAAAACACTGAATTTAGCTCACAATTGATCGTCATTTGAATACTACAATTAAATTTTAGGTGATGCCAGTAACGTGGTATCCACGCAATTTCACAAATCCAGATCTTGATTACAAGGAATATAGCACACGAATAAGTGACGATCAACTGTACTCTGTACAACTTGGTTTATATGTCATAGGCTACAGAGAAGCAGCTGATGATCAGGTAGCTTCTTAATGTGATTAATAAAATAGTCGGAAATTAAAAATATGAATTATTTCTGTGAGAAATTTTGTTTCAGTAACTAAAAAACTGTTCATTTTATGGTTTTAGATTAAGAAATTCCGTCCGGAACATCGAGTTTTATGCCGGTTAACAACATATGCCAATCGAAATTCACCAGAATATCGCTGGAAGCCACAGGAAGAGAAAATCAATTTATATCAGGTGTCGAGAATAATTTTAAAATGAATGGAAAATTTTCTGAGTTCCCAATAACTTATAAAGATACTTCCTACATTTTGAAATACATCATTAAATTAGGGCAACATAATTGGAAGACAACATTTCGGTAATTATATTTTAGGTTGAAAAATGGTATCTATCAGATTGGGAGCGAACGAATATACTTTATTCATACCGCTTTGGTTACCTAAAATTAGCACCATTAACCGCTAATGAGGATACTTCGCAGCATTTGACTCATCTATCATCCGGGTTTGTTACTTTTTTCCTCTTTCTTTCGTATGATATTAAAGAATGTATTCTGACGACTAATACTCCTTAGCCTAAATTTTATATTCATGTAAATTGAAACAATTCAAAGTTGTTTTATTGTTAACGAAATATTTCATAGCTTTTTCTTTCCGTAACTTTCAATATAATTAGAAATTGTTACAGATTGGTTTCGCCACCAATATCAATTCATTGGTTATGGACTATAAATAATCCACAATTTACATCATCATCCTATTCACAACAGGATGCAGAAAGTAGAATGCAATTCGTCTCAACTAAAGCAACCGAAATCTGTCATGACTGGTTGATTTTATACTTGTTTTTGTTTTCTTCTCTATTAAAAATAATTAATTTTTGTAGTATTTTCTTTTCTTATGCTTCATGAAATTTTTATTGAATTTCAAAATTTAGGTTCGCAGAAGACGGAGCGCAATATAATTTTATTCGCGATACGGAAACCAATGCATCTTGTCCATGCGTGGAAAGTCAAGCACGTGTGGATATTGGTCGTTTTATGCCGCATCCTCGTTGTTCTCAGGTTAGACTAATTATATGAATATCGTTAATTATTAATGAAAAATTGAAATATCATTGAAAAATAAAATTGGATGGCACTGAAAAAGAAAAGCTATTATTCAATAATTCGATGATTAATTGTCAAACAAGAAATATTTTTAAATGTGTGGAATTTTATGGTTAAAATATTTTATATGTTAAAAATTGGGATAGAAGAAATTTTTCTGTAAAGATAATTACATTGAACTCTTTAGATATTTCGTGATATCACTTGTCAAACAATGATCGGTGCAAAGAATTGTTATATTAGTGCTCAGAATATTTATGGTTCATATGCTGGTGAAGGTTCAGGCTATGAAAGTGAAAAAACAGCGTAGGTTTTTGTAAGAATTTCATAAATCTTTAATTCCTGAAAATTAAATTGATCGAAGCTATTTTGAAATTATTTGAATGTTAATATTAGTTAAAATAACCGTTGAAAAAAACTTGCATTGATTATTTTTAATTCTTTTGTAAAATTAGCATTATAGACGTTTCCAAACGCATTATGGACAAGTATGCTGTTATGATGAAGAGGGCAAATTGATGCAAACAACTTATCAACCGGTGATAAAAGTGACCGATGATACACCGTATAATCCTGGCTTTCCATTACGTGCCTATGAATTCGGTACCGATCCATATATTGGACAATTTGAGGTAAAAATTTCAGAAATTTTCATTTAATTATTTGAAGTAACCGCATGCTTGTATCCATTTATTTCTTTACATCACTGACGAAATAGGAAATTCTTCAGTTCTATAGATCTCTTATAGTAGTATTCACTTTCTTGCTGGATTCAGGTACCAGGTCTATCCGTATTTTATCACGATTATATGCCTTACTTCTTTTGCTGCAAATATGCGAAATTTCGTTGTCAACTATTTTACTGGAGGCGACCAAGTAGCGGTTGTCAGCAGTATCAGCCTCCAGCTGTCGGTATGCGCTCTATTATTTACTGATAAATTTTATGCTTCACATCACTAAACTCTAGTTTTAATTAGATCAAAGCGAATTTTATATTTACCAATTTCAAGGCGAAGCACTTGGAGCAGTAAGCTTCAATACCATCGATAACGATAAATTCATCTTTAATGAACCAGGAGTGTTCACACTTTTGTATATTCCGAAAACCACAACGACGCCAGAAGTACGAATTCAAGTACGACTGGAGCGTTATCCGGATCGTAGAGTTGATTTCAGTAAGTTTTCTGAATTTCGTATTGATCTATTTGAAATTTTTCATTCAATTAATTTGTTTTTTACAACAATTTTGCTTAATCATAGCAATTAATCAATCAATTAATTTAATTATTTGGCCTACTTGTTTATTCATTTACTTGAGGTCGTTAATAATTTTTATAGGCTTACTTGGACGTCAAATAGGACAAGCAAACTTGGTGCAACCAACAAATGCAACTGTTATTACTGGAGTAGCCATCGAAGCAACTGGAACCGATCGAGTGCACGTGGTTGCTCGTAAAGATACCCGCCGTTTCCGGTATCGCACGAGCATTATTGTTGGCAATATACTCCGCTACTTCGATGTTATGCGAATTCAGCGATTCAGAGGTAAGTGAAATTGTTACCGATTCAGACGTAAGTGAAACTTATTCTGCCTTAAATTATGTTGAATATATATATGAATTTAGATAAATATAGTTGAATTGAAATTGTATAAATTCATCCTACGATCCTCTATTCCTGAACAATCAGGAATTTTGTTATCTTGAAATTTATTTTAAGGTGTAATGGTTTATGTAAACAATGTGGAACGGGGTCAACCGGAAGTTTATGTGGTTCTGGAAGAAGCACAAGTTGGAATTCGTATTCGTGAATCATATAATCTTGATATTGATCGTCTATCGATGTATCAAGAAAGTATGGGTTTACTTGACATTGAACTTAGTGTACCTCCACAATACGGTGTGGTAAGTTCTCAAATTTCTTTTGCCGAAAGTATAATAGTTTTCATAAATGTACAAATTATTGGTGTTTAAATTTGTTGAAATCAAATTTGCAAGTTTTCTTTGACGATGGTCGAATACCTAAATGCAACTGCTAATTATTTGCAGCGCCCAGATGGTGATAAAGCTCGGGAACAAGATATGCGTACACGATATAATCTTCCACGTGTATCCGGTCTTATGCGACCATTTCCGGACCAGACATCTGCTTCCTATTTATCTGGTTTGAGTTTGAATGACGTTAATGCAGAAGGAATCCGTCAGCAAATTATTACGAATTGTAAGCATTGAATACCTTTGTAACCGAAATTTTCTAAGGGAATCTAGGAAGTATTTGGAGATTATCTTATATGTGTCTACTTTCTGTGGTTTTTGATTTTCAGAGTTATTGTTGGAACATTTATAAGACATTTTTCAGATACTTTTTTATATTAAGTAAGTGAAATATTGCTTGAAAATTATTTACCCAAAAGTCAACTATCCGATGATATATTCTGCAATTTAGTGAAGCTTATTATTCTACAGTGGTAGCGCCGGATCGGACCAACCATCCGATAATATATTCTGCAATTTAGTGAAGCTTATTCTATGGTGGTAGCGCCGGTTCTAAGCAGGATATAAAAGAATATAAAACTGTTTTTTGATATAAAAATGTTTTCCCAAACAGACTTCCAATAATAACCAGTCAAAGTATTCCATGCAATCTATGAGCTCATTTCGTTTATTGGAATTTTGCAGGATTAACATTTAAGTGTATCTTCCAGCATTCCGGAAAACATAACTCAAAAAAAATGTTGCTTGTACATTATCCAATTACTGTCATTCTTACTTCATGGTAAATGCCGTAAATGTTAAATAAGATATTCTTATTAATATGTTTAAGATCTTATTCCGGGTACCGGTGAACCAAGTACCAGGCAAACAATGGGTGCTTTGAATCAGAATATTCCAACCGACAATATGTTCACAACCAGTCAGGATATAGATAAAAAATTCGAAGTATTTCCGGAAGTATACATAAAAAGTGAACCGATCTATAAAACTTCTCCAGAATATGAAACGTATGTTTATCCAATAATTTCGCATCAATTTCTGCTATTATTGCCATAATTGACATATTTTCGCATTTGTACATATTGCTAAAATTTTTTTTAAAAATGTAAAAGTAGCGCAGTAGCTTAAGATATTAGTAAAATACTGGAAATTTTGCAAGTTCGCCCCTCGTAACTAATTAGTTAATTGCCGGTGTAAACAAATGTAATGTGTTTAATCTAGTTCGAATTTTATCATTCAGACTAAATTGCTTAGGTAATGCTTTATCTGATGTTTTTCATGAAAATTTTTGATTTGTTTTCTTCATCTAATTTTT